GGGGGGGGGGCAATAGTACTCCAGGTTACCCCCACTGGTCTGGGGCGAGGAAAGTTAGTGAATTCACTATGGGGTAATAGGGGGCAGTGACACCTGGCAGAGGGGGAGGGTCACTCTGCTACTGGAGGGGAGTGATTCTGCTACCGGGGTAAGGGAGGAATGTGACTCTGTTACACTGCTCTGGGGTCAAGTGGACAGGGACAATGATCAGGGGTAAGGGAGGGCCGTGACATTGCTTTGGGGTAAGGAAGGGCCGTAACATAGCTTTGGGTTAAGGGAGGGCAATGACATTGCTTTGGGGTAAGGGAGGGCCGAGACTTTGGGGTAAGGAAGGGCCGTAACATTGCTTTGGGGTAAGGGAGGGCCGAGACTTTGGGGTAAGGGAGGGCTGAGACTTTGGGGTAAAGGAGGGCAGTGACATTGCTTTGGGGTAAGGGAGGGCCGAGACTTTGGGGTAAGGAAGGGCAGTAACATTGCTTTGGGGTAAGGGAGGGCCGAGACTTTGGGGTAAGGGAGGGCCGTAACATTGCTTTGGGGTAAGGGAGGGCTGAGACTTTGGGGTAAGGGAGGGCCGTGAAAGTGATTTGTTTTAAATAAAAATGTAGAATAATGTTTTCTAATCTGTAATATTTATATTTTGAGTGCTAACCCCCGACAGCAGATGAGAGACGGAAATCATACATAGTGATCTATTGCCCGTGTACAGCGAGGTGCCGGTGACCCCGAGTCCCTATAGGAGGATGCTCGCTCTCAAAAGGCAATAAAATCCGCTTTGCAAAGAACAGCCAATCAGCTGCCAGGAAAACGAAGCCACGTGATTGGATGATTGAAGTCAGCACGCCTCATTCGCTGAACTCATTTAAAATCCCCTTTGCAAAAGAACATTCTCTACCCCTTCATTAAATCCGCCACAATGTACCCGCCCCCCCATACTGGGGGAATCCCTGGGGGATGATGTCACAATGTGTGTCACGTGATTTCCTCAAAGGGGGAGGCCCTGAGTTCCCCAGTTTTGGCGGCGCTCGGCAGGGATTGGTGGCCTTGCAGATGTTACCCGCCATTGTGTTGTCAGCTGCCCATTGTTGCAGCCAATGGAAAGTGTTTATTTTGTGCCACCAAAGTCAGCTGGTGGAAAGTTGGGGGATTAGGATTAGGAGGTTAGGTTGGTTTAGGATTTTGTGATAATAATTTTTCATTTTTGGGTAATTTAAGTTTTATGAATGCCACCAAATATCATTTAGTTGAATCAGGACAGAGGGGTAGCAGCATATGGATACCTTTAGAGCCTGCGCAGGTATACAGGAAAGGAGACGTACACCGCTTTATATTTACAAATATCTAAAGAAAGTTCCACATCCAAAAGCAAAATACCATTTTTTTAAATTATGGGTGGAGTGGTCCTTTAAAGGGTGATTGGCATCCAGCCCGGTGCGCACCCGTTACCCACCCGGAGATAAAAGGTAATGTGAATCTGAATCCGCGGCTGGTGCTCGTTCAGCAGAATCCAGCGCGCTGCGTCCGTGATCTGGATGCGATTTTTTTTCTCCCCGCTGGTCATGTGACATCTCAATATTCTCCATTATGCCACAAAAAGCCAATATTTCCATCAAGGGCCCCCGAACCCCAGCTGAGGCTCCGAGTCACGCCGCCGCCGCCGCTCCCTGCGAGTGCGCTGATTGATGCGCGGAGGGAAATTGTCTTTTTTTTCGGAGACTGTACGAAGGCCTTTGACTCCCGTGCAGCTGGCGATGCCTTACTCCTCCTAAAGAGGGTTTTGTACTGGAAATTAGCATGCAAATTAGCTGCAGCTGTAATTAGCATAAAAAATAATGTCGTTATCTTCAGTATTGTTGATGATTTCCGTCTGTCATATGAGCACTCCGGCATGCAAATCCCGCTGACAGCCATGGTAGTCACTTCTGTATTCCTTATTAATATCGCATGAGCGCCGAGGGGGGCGCGACCCGCCACTACTGATATCTAT